CCACCACCCATCCATTCACCCACCTATCCATCCTCCATCCACCCATCCATCCAGCCATCCATCCCCCACTCATCCATCCATCACCTACCCACTCACCTATCCATCCTCCATCCATCCATCCATCTCCCACCCATCCATCCACTCATCCACCCATCCACACATCCATCCATCCTCCATCCATCTCCCACCCACCCATCCACTCATCCACCCATCCACACATCCATCCATCCTCCATCCACCCATCCATCCACCCATCCATCCATCCCCCACTCACCTACCCATCTATCCACTCATCCTCCATCCACCCATCCATCCACCCACCCATCCACCCACCCACCTATACATCATCCATCCAGTAACATTCTCACCCATGTATCCATCCACCCACCCACCCACCCAGCCAGCCAGCCAGCCTTCCCTTTCTTCTTCTACCTGTGTGACTGCCTGCCTGCCTACCTATCTACATATTGTCTCTCCGCCTGTCCATCCATCATCCATATTTCCATCCTCCACTTCTCCACTGGCCCCTGAACACTCACTGGACACTGACTGTAGCCAGCCCCAGGGCCACAGATGTGGAACTGTCTCTGATGTGGCCAGTCACTGGGAGGCCTTAAAGCCARGCAGATATGGCTGCCCTCCTGTCCCTGTGCTTTGTGCCTGCGTGGCCCTGGCCAAGACTTCAGGGTCAGCTCCTCCCTCCTAATATGGCGGAGGGAGAGCCCATCCTGACAGGTACCTTCCCCTGCCGGCCCTCTCCACCCTGTCTGACCTGGCTGACCCCCTGTGCCCAAGCCTGGTGCTCTGGAGCTGGGCCGGGAGGGCTCACACCCCTGGWGGATGCTCTGACCCTCAGTGCCTCACCCACCCAGAGGCGGCAGCAGAGGCGGAAGTCCAGGGAGCCCTAGCCTCGCTGCCTGCTCGGGCACCCCTGGGTGTGGCTGCCCAGCCTTCTCCTGCTGTGCCCTCAGAGTGGCCCCTGAGCAGAGCTCAGCARTGCCTGGGTTCTGCTGCCCAGGCTGCCTGGTCTGAGCCTCTCTGGGCCTCACTTTCCTTGTCCCTAAAATGGGGAGACCATGGGTCAAAGCAAGGTGGACACACTCACGCATGACTGCCCTGAGGACCCTCACAGGAACGCTGGGCAATACTCAGTATTGGCTGTGCTGGGGCGCAGGTCACCAGAGGGACAGTGAGCAGGGCCGGGGGAGCTTGGAGGCCGGGACTGAGGCACCCGCCTGGCTCTTCTCTTGCAGCCGAGGAGTGGCTTCCTGCCAACAAGGAGCCCGTGGAGCGCTGTGGCTTCACRGTCAAGGATCTCCCAACCGGAGCCAGGATCCTCTTCCGCGTGATTGGGGTCAACATTGCAGGTCGCAGTGAGCCGGCCACCCTGGTCCAGCCGGTCACCATCCGGGAGATTGTGGGTGGGTGACCCAGCCCTCCTAGAACCCAAGKCAGTGACATCCCATCTGCCCTGGCTGGGTGGTCACCAGGGCCTCCCCCAGACAATCTCACCCATTCTGTCCTTCAAATGACCCCTCGGCCGTGCGCTGAGCCCCCACCTGGGTCTTACCCTCAGAGCAACCCAAGATCCGCCTCCCGCGCCACCTGCGCCAGACGTACATCCGCAAAGTGGGCGAGCACCTCAACCTCGTCATCCCCTTCCAGGTGCCCGGGCTGGGGCGGGACGGGCGGCTGCGGTGGCCCCACGGTGCTGCAGGCCCCTGACCCGCTGGCCCGCTCCCCCAGGGCAAGCCCCGGCCCCAGGTGGTGTGGACCAAGGGCGGAGCCCCCATAGACACCTCGCGCGTGCACGTGCGGACCAGCGACCTCGACACGGTGTTCTTCGTGCGCCAGGCGGCCCGCTCCGACTCCGGGGAGTACGAGTTGACCGTGCAGATTGAGAACATGAAGGACACTGCCACCATCCGCATCCGGGTCGTGGGTGCGCAGCGGGTGGGGGTGGGGCAGGGGCGTGATCCAGGAGGGGAAGGGCGGAGGGGGCAGGAGGGGAGGCGTGAGGGGCGGAGGACGGGTGGGAGGGGGTGAGAGGAGGAGGTTTGGGGCACCAGGATGGGTGGGCGTCTAAGGGGAGAGGACTGAGGGGCCATGTGGACAGCGGCCACGGGGCCTCCTTCCAGAGAAAGCAGGGCCCCCGGAGAACGTGCAGGTGAAGGAGGTGTGGGGCACCAACGCGCTGGTGGAGTGGCAGCCCCCCAAGGACAACGGGAACAGCGAGATCACCGGCTACTTCGTCCAGAAAGCAGACAAGAAAACCATGGTGAGAGGACGCAGGGCGGCGAGAGCGGAGCCCAGGGCCCATTCACCAGGGAAGGAGGCGAGAGTGGTGGTGGGGGGGGCAGGGGCTGGGGGGCCCTCGAGGCTGAGGCTTGATGCAGCTCTTTTTGGGTTGAGATAGACTTCACAGAACAGAATTAGGCAGTAACCATTTTACTGACTGGTCCTTTGTGGTGCTGGGGATGGAACCCAGACCCCCCCCCCCCAGGCAAGCGCTGTTCCACCAAGCCATACCCCAGGCCCCAGAGTTCCAGGAGCCCTCGGGGGCTTCTAGCACATTTCCAAGGCCTGCAGCCACCACCTCCATCTAGTGTGAAGGCATCTCATCACTCCAAAAGGAGACCCGTCCCCATTGGCAGCCCCCACTTCACCCACCAGTCCCCAGAGGCTGCCCACGTGCTGTCTCTATGGACTCATCTGCTCTGGACATTTCACATGAGTGGAATCAACTTGGGACTTCAGTAGTCTGGTTTCTTCACTGAGCACAGTGTCTTCAGAGTTCACCCTGGTGGCCCTCGTCACTGCTTCTCTCCTTTTTAGGGCTGAATAATATTCCATTATACGAGTGATGTCATTTTGCTAATGTCTCCCTTGATGGCCATGGTGAATAGCGCTGTTGTCGATGACAGGTCTTCTCAACCCTCCCTGACTCTCCTGTGTCTGTGTCTACTTGTGTATGTTCCCATGTCCCCTGTCCCCACATTAGGAGTGGTTCAACGTCTATGAGCACAACCGCCACACCAGCTGCACTGTGTCTGACCTCATCGTGGGCAATGAGTACTACTTCCGMGTTTTCAGTGAGAACATCTGTGGCCTCAGTGACTCACCTGGGGTCTCTAAGAACACGGCCTGCATCCTCAAGACAGGTGCTGCCACCCTCTCATGGGGCCCGTTACCCCTGGGGCTCCGAGGGAGGGCACCTGGCCACAAGGTGGAGATGGCCAAGTCTGTTCCCTGGCCGGGGCTGGGACCGTCTAGATGGGCCATCTTACTGGCATCTCTCTCACCAGGAATCACCTTCAAACCCCTCGAGTACAAGGAACATGACTTCCGGACGCCTCCCATGTTCCTCACGCCTCTAATCGACCGGGTGGTTGTGGCTGGATACTCCGCGGCTCTCAACTGTGCTGTCAGAGGCCACCCGAAGGTGTGGGGGCAGGCTGGCCTGCAGGTGCCCCTGTGTGGGCCCCGTGGGGACTCTCCCACAGCCCAGGCCCATCCACAGCTCTTCCTGTGGGAATCACTCCCTGGGACCCACTTCCTGTTCCCCTCCTCTGGCCAGAGCCCAAGTCAGACAGTCATCTCCCTGCCTCTTCTCTGCCGTGTGACCTCCAGGGGGCAGCTTGTCTTGGCAGCCTGAGGAGAGGCCACTTGGTCTCTTGTCCTGCTCAAGGACACACATGGGTGCCTTGGACACAGAAACCTGGTGGGGGGTCTAAATCTGCAAGGAACCCCCGGGGCGTCCCGCTGCCCTCTGGGAGATGTGGACACCACACCGGCAGCCCTGAGCTGCAGGAAGCCGTGCGGACCCGGGGCTGGCCGACTCCAGCTCAGGGCCAAGGCTGACGGCTGCCTGTTTCTCCCAATTAAGTTTTATYGGCGCGTGGGCCACACACATCGGTTTGTATTTTGCAGCACAGCAGCAGAGCTGAGCAGTTGTGACAGAGACSTGGGGGCACAAAGCCTGACACAGTTATGATCTGGCCCTTCACAGGGAGGCATTCGTCAGCCCCCTCCAGTCACTCCCTCCGTTGCCCCTCCCCTGCTCCCACACCCACGGCTCAGCCCTTCCCGCCAGGAGCTGACACGATGCCTCCATTTGCTCCATTTAGTCTTTCGAGGCTTTTTATGTGCTAGACAAATAGGACAAGGAGTTCCTGTCCAAGAAGTGTGGGATCAACAATCAACTGAGGGTTGATCCAAAATCACCCAAGTAATATAAAACTGCAAAGGGTGACAAGAAATGCAGGCAGTTCTGAGAGAGCAGTGTCCCTGTCCCAGGGCAGGGGTCAGGAAGCGACACGAGCTATGGAGTGAAGGACAAGCAGGTGCTAACCAGGGACGAGAGGAGGAGGGAATGTCAGTGTGGAGGCCCGATGGAGCACATCTGGTCATTTCAGGAACAGCACCCAGCCAGYGCCTGGAGGGTGGGGGCAGAGAGCCATGGGGTCAAGTCACGTCAGGCTGTGGGCTGCTATGCTGAGGACAGTGGGAAGCCCTCACCACTACCTGTGCAGTGGGGTACAGAAAAGGAGACGGAGGGTCAGAGAATGGAAGTTCAAGGAAACTGGCAAGGAGGTGGCCCAGCAGGATTAGAAACCAAACCCGCCTCCTGAGCCCGCCTGCCATGGCCCAGGGCATGCCCTGAGTTGGCCTCTTCTCCCTCCTTGGCAGCCCAAGGTGGTCTGGATGAAGAACAAGATGGAAATCAGGGAAGACCCCAAGTTCCTGATGACCAACCACCAGGGGGTCCTGACGCTGAAYATCCGCCGCCCTTCGCCCTTTGATGCGGGGACTTACTCCTGCCGGGCCTTCAATGAGCTGGGGGAGGCACTGGCCGAGTGCAAGCTGGATGTCCGAGGTGAGGAGGGGTCCCCACCCTGGTCGACCCCACCTGACTGGGGCTCTATGTCAAGTGATGCTAGACCCGAGCCGGCCTGGGCCCCGGGGAGGCCCTGGGCGCAGGGCTGGGCCCGGCAGCAAGGGGCAGTGCAGGCAGGGAGGGGCGCCTGCGCACCTGGCCAGAGCTCAGTGAGGTTTCTCCAAAGGGAGGGAGGACAGAGGCGGAGAGGAAGGAGAGCCCAGCGAGTGTCCCCAAGGCCTCCAGCAGGCCTGGGCCTGTGTGGGGAGAGGCGCTGGGGGCTGAGCGGATGGCATGGCCGTGGAGCCCCTGCCCTGATGTCGTGACAGCCCGTAAGATGCCCCCTCGAGGGACTCAGTACACACGGTGCCTCTTCAACACTCTTCCAACCTCCCCCGCCTGGGGCCTGGAGCCAGTCAGGAGCCAGTGCAGAGGACACTACCAGGTCCCCCAGGGCTGGACTCAGGGGTGACCTTCCAACAGAGAGAGACTCTCACTGCAGACCCTCAGCAGGGGCTCAGAGGGACTTCTCTACACCCAGGCAGCTGCAGTTCCAGACTGTTGCTCTTCTGGGGTCCCCAACATCCAACATTTTTCTGTCCCTTCTAACCAACTGAATCTTTTTAAAGACGGCCTGACCTCAGGAGTCCTGTAGCTGTCTATAGCAGAACAGCCTACTCTGGGGTGGAAATTGGGCAGGGACAGTCGCTGGACGGGAACATGTCATGTGGACACAGCTGGCAAAGGCACCTGGAGATCTAGGCACCTCTCTCATTGTCCCCACAGTGCCGCAGTGAAACCGTCTCCAACCTGTGGAGGTGACCAGCCTGACTGCAGCCCGAGAGCTCTGCCTCTGTCCCCTCCTCTACTTATCCCACACAACAAGACAGTGTTGCTTGGACTCTCACGTGTCTTTCCTTGAATCTGCTCCCCTGCCCCCTCCTGTCCCCCAGCTCTCTGGGTGGGTAATGTTGGACTAGCGGCCACCACCATGGGGCTGTCACAGTGAACCATGCCAGCATTGGGGCTGCCGTCTTGCAGCAGGGACTTTAGGGGGCAACCAGAGGCCATGGCTTGTGGTTGGAGCTGTAGAGGTGCAGCCCGTATGCAGGAGCCTGGGCCCAGCTACCAAGAGCCGAGGGAGGCAGGCTGGCCGCAGCTGCAGCTGCAGTAATCGGAAATGAGCCACAGGCCCAGCCCGGAAGGCCATGCTCCTGAGGGAGCCATGTGGCAGTGGTGGGCACCGGGTTTTGACAATGGCCCAAGGAGCTGGGTGCGGCTGACCGGAGACCCCGCGAGGCAGCCGTACTCGTGCCGCTGCGAAGTGCCTGTGGTGGTTAGTTCTTAAGTGGACGCTCTTTATTAAGSTTTATAATTCATTTGTTGGCCCTGAGGTAAAGTACTCCATCTCGGGGTCTTTTGGTGACCTCGAAGGATGTTGGCAGAATCACAGTCCCCAGAGTTCAGAGGCCTGCGGGTCAAGTCTGACTTCTGTGGCTTGGAGCTGGGTGGGGAGAGTGTCTCTCAGCGCTCTGACCTGCAGGGGTGTCTGCTGGGGTGGGTGGGCCTCTGGGCGGTGGGGGAGGCGGGGGAGCCCGGTGCAGCACCCTCAGGGTCTGGGGGGGCTGCTCCTCGCCTGCCCGGGCCTTTCTGGAGTGGTCATCTGGTGGGAGCCCAGCTCTTCAGGTGCAGGCATCCCTCCCGCTGGACCCATTAGCAAGCTAGAGCCACCTAGCTAGGAGTGGCAGGTCCTGCGGCCCCACCCTGCTGTCTTCTACTCAGACACCCCTAAGGACCGGGAGAGGGTGAGTCACCTGGACTCTCACACCCAGGCGCCCCGCCCCTCACCTCCTCCCCGCCCATCCGCGACTCCTCGTCGTCGCCATCGTCGTCGTCCTCCTCCTCCCCGTCGCCCTCCAGCGCGTACTCCTGTGTGAACGGCACAGCTCCCTCAGCCGAGTGGAAATGCAGGCGGTAGAGCAGCCGCACCCACTGGCCGAACTCACGGTCGCGGGTCTCTGGCGGGGCCCGCAGCTGCAGGTAGAAGGCACGGCCAGTGCGGAACTTGACCTTGAGCTGCCGGCGGCATTCATCATGGACGAACAGCTGGACGAACTGCAAGGGAAACAGCCTGCGCCGGCGGCGGGCGGCGGGCGGGCTCAGGCGGCTGTGCTCACCGTCCAGCCTGCCCGCCCCTGCGGCCCTCTGCCCGGAGGCTTGGGTTTTACTTTCATTGCGTGTTGAATTAAGCTCATCCCAACCTCCTKCCAACCTCCCATCCCTTTTGTCTCCGCTGGGCCTCTTCCTGAACCCCGGACCCGGACATGCCTATGTGACATGCCCGTCTGGACAGTGGATCGACCACGGTCCCACGATGTGTTCAGCAACCACATCCCTGAAGGCCTCCCCTTCTCCAGATCTGCCCCTCTGGGTCTTCACGTCTTGGCTACATCCCTACACTTGCTCTGGGAGTTGTCCTTAATTCAACTTTCTTTTCCATACCCGTATCCTATCCTGCCACCAAATCCTGATGGCTCCACCTCTAAAACATACCCAGAATCCAACCTTCTCTAACTCACGGCCACCCTAGTCTTCTCATTTCCAGGGCTTTGCCAGGCAGGCTCACAACCAGTTCCCCACGAGGCCGCCAGAGGGCGCCAGTTAACACTTTACCTCCACTCTGCGCCAAAAAGCTCACCTGAAGTCCAAGTTCTCACCACAGACCACAAGACCCTGTGGGATCTGATCTGCTGTTATCTCTGCACCTCCATCCACACCASCTTTCTCTCTGTCCATAAACACAGCTGGCTCTGACATTCCCCAGGACCTTTGCACAGGCTGTTCCCTCCACYTGAAATCCTCTTTCTCTAGTCTTTTCTGTGATTCCCCTATTCATCTCCCTCATCTCTCTCTTGGGCAATCCTTCTCAAGGAGGTCTTTACCACTGAGCATCTACCACTAAGCTACTTTACCACTGAGCTACGGCCCTTTTCATTTTTTATTTTGAGACAGAGTTGAATTTACGATCCTGGCCTACATACAACCACGTCCATCGTACACCTCTCTTGGCCCTCCCTTATCTCCTCACAGACCATACCCTGACCAGCAAATTGCCCTTTATCCTATCTGCCTTGTCAATAGAATGTGAGTGCCCTGAGGGCTCTGAGTGACCTGGTCTGGCTTTGTCCAGTGCTGTTTTCCCTGCATCCTGAGCAGATGTTAGCGGGTGCTCAAGGGACACTTGTTACATATGTGAATAAATGAACTGCTCAGGCCCCCAGCTGGACTGAAATTTCAACAAGATGGAGTAGGAAACAGTCACTGGGGGGCTGACAACTTGGCCCAGGCCACACAGCTGAGATTGGGACCAAGTCCTGTGTTCACAACCACAAAACATTCTTAATGACAACTGGGCAGCCACACCCAGCTCTGTTTTGGCAGTGACCTCCAGGAATTGATCTAAGAAGACACCCTCACCCCTGTGCACAGACGTATCCACACAGATGTCCCCTGCCTCGCTGGCTGTAACTCAAAGTCAGTGGACAAAAACCAGTGTCCCGCCGTGGGCAGCTTGACTATGCCCCCACATGGAAGAGGAGCTGCTGGCCTCCACAGAGGGCTGGCTCTGCCAGGTGCTGCTCCTGCACCTCACACCAACTCAGTTTCTCCCCAACAGCCCTGGAAGTGGCTTYCCCTCATTYCCACTTTCCAGATGAGGAAACGGAGGCACAGATGGGAAGCTTGGCCAAACACAGTGAAGAAACCCTGAAGGCAGGATTGAACCCAGACCATCTGCAGGCAGACTGGTTCAAGGACGTCTCCTGCCACATTGTGACAAAAGCTTGTTCAGGGTGTATGTCCTGGGGGCAGCGTCTAGTGCGGAGAGAGCGARCCCAGCAGGAGGCAGCGTGCACACTGCTGCTGGCACAGAAAGGTGAACACTYGCATGTGCCAGTCAGCCACAGCCCAGGGCTGTACCCCCGGCACCCAGGGTGAGTCCCCAGGCCCTGTCTGCAGAGCAAGCTGCTGGTTTTTCCTTCAGTGGTCTATTTGGGGCAGGGAGCTTAGGAAGCTGTTTTGAGACAGGGTCTCAGGTTGCTCAGGGCCTCGCTAAATTGCTGAGACCAGCATTGAACTTGTGATCCTCCTGCCTCAGCCTCCTGAGCACTAGGATTATAGGTGTGTGCCACCATGCCCAGCTCACAATTAGCATTTAAGATATTTGAAAAAAAAAAAAAACCACAACAGTGACAGGATAGTGCTTTGTGAAACGTTCTCCACTTAGGTGGGGGGATAACTCAAGGCTGTGAACCTCCAGTAGGCTCAGATACATCCCTTCATTCTTCACTCCTTACATTCTTCCCTCCCCCTTCCCTCCTCCTCTCCCCAACCTGCYATCTCTTTCATTAACGATGAGATGTGGTTAAAAAAGTAAAGTCCCTGGCAGCGCTGTCTATAAACTCAGCCTGTGCTTCTGGATTTGCAGCTGGAGTTGGGGGAAGGAGCCTAGGATGGGAAAAGGTATATCTCCTGCCATGTCACTTTTGTCCTTGTATGTGTGTGTTCGGGTGCACGTGTGTCACTGGGGACTGAACCCAGGAGCACTTTACCACTGAGCTATATCCCCAGCCCTTTGTATTTTTTATTTTGAGACAGAGTTGAATTCATGATCCTCCTGCCTCAGCCTCCCAAGTCACTGGGACTACAAGTGTACCCCATGGTGCCCAGTGTGTGTTACTTTTTAATGAAAAAATAAGACCTCGAGGGGCAGTATAGCAGTAACATGGCAGTGGGATTCAGGAATTAGGAGATCTGAGATGACAATGAATGTGACCCCTGGCTCACATGGGACCCTGRGAAACTGTTCCCTTCTCTTAGCCTCACTTTATTTCTTTGGAGGATGGAACTAAGGAGCCCCACCATGAGGATATGAGGTAAAATGTGGCTAGTGCATGGCTCAAGGGCACCTGGCATGTAGTAGGCACTTCATAAATGGTCACTGTCCTGAYCTTTGCAGGGTGTTGCTGAGAACTGTCCTTGCCCTGTTGTCTAGTCTCTGATTTCTGGTTCCTGTGGACTGCCCTGTCCTCTTTCTCCTGGATGTACAGCTGCCCAAAGGGCTGAAGCCACCCAGTGCTCCTGGGTGGTCTGGGTGAAAGGAGCTGCTGCCAGAGGCCTGGGTTCCCAGAGCGGGGGAGGAAGTGGTCTAGGCCTAGTTGGGACAGTCACCCGAGGAGTTGCAGGCGTCCATTCTCCTTGGCAGGGCCAGCCAACAGCAAGAGGTCTGGGAGTTCCAGGGCTGGACTCGAGGCTGCCACCCCCATGGTGACCTTGTTGGCAACTTCTCCAAACCGGGTCACCTGGGACCAGAGATCAGAGATTAGAGGCAGGATACATGGGAACATTGGAAAGGAACTAGARGTCAGGAATCTTAGTAGAATACAAGGTCACAAACCAAGGGAGTAAACATGGGGCCAGATACCTTGGGATTAAAGTCAAGAAGTGAGGGTGTGAAGTCAGGGAAACTGAGACAAAGGACTCCAAGGCCAGAGTTCACAGACAAGCCAAAGGGCCAGAGATATGGGGTGGGAGGTGGTCAGATGGCATCAGGTGCAGCTGGAGGTCCACAACTGGGCAAGGATTATGGGGAAATAGCTGGAATGGCAGAAATGGGGTTCCCCAAGACAGAAGGATGAAGGTCAGGCCCAGGCTCTGGGCCGAGGTGCCCAGACTTCACACCTGCACGAAGTTGCTCTCAAAGATAGGGAAGTCCCGCAGCTGGTCAAACTCGCCGCTCAGGAGGTGGCGTTGGAGCCGTCCAGGTCGTCCCCTGGGATACGCTGGAAACAGGGGACGTTCTAGAGGGACAAAGTTTGAGGGTCTGTTCCAAGAGGTTGAGCCCAGATCCCCCAGAAGGTCGGGCCCAGAGCGGCACAGTGCTGAGGCGATGGTACGGGGTATCTCCGAAAAGCTGACTCCATGCCTTACTCTGCGCTCACCAGGTCCAACCCCTCGCGGCCTGGCTCTGCCTCCCATGTCCCATCTCACATGTCCCCCCTCACCTGCTCCACCGAGGGCTGGCTTAGGATCGTACCCCCGCTTCATCGCAAAGCCCAGAGCCCTGGTGGGAGCGAAGGGAGGAGCCGGGGTAGAAAACCACACTGCCGAACTGCGAGCGCTGTGACATCATAACGAGAAATCCAGATTTGATGACGTCATAGAAGTTCCTAGAATGGCAGCGTCACCTGAAAAGCAGGCCCTGGAGACCCGGATAAAGGGGCGGCAGCMCGATGACGTCAGGCCCTGGTGCCTGCGGATGCACGCCAATGCGCAGGCGCGAGGGGCCGACGCCMGCGCAGTTGTGTCAGGACGCGGCCGGGCGCTCCCAGCGTGCTCCGCGGTGCTCGGTTCACATCCTCTAGGTTGATGGGAAAGAGTTGAAATGGCGGCCGCCGGCGCCGGGGCCGCCCGGCTGCTCCTGCTTTTGCTGATGGTGGCAGCAGCGCCCAGCCGAGCCCGGGGCAGTGGCTGCCGGGCCGGCGCCGCCGTGCGAGGGGTGAGTGCCCATCAGCTTCGTGGAGCAGGAGAGGCCGACGGAAGTCGTGGGACTGTAGGTGGATTAAGGTGGTGACGAGGCCGGGCAGGGTGGAGAGGAAAGATGAGGTGAAGGAACCCTGGAGAGTGAGGCAGGCGTGGGAGGGCGCCAGGCCCGGCACCAGCCCGCCGCCACCTGGAGGGAGAGCCGCGGACGGTGGGGGCTTTGGCGGTGAACGGGAAGGCAGGCTGCCGGAGGCCTGGTCGGGCACGTTGGCTTCGGCCGGGGCGTGAGGGGCCCGCAGTTCGTGGACACGCAGGAGCGGTGTGGCCAGGATGGAATCCTGGCCAACTAGACGTCAAGGTGGTCAAAATGAAACAAAGGCGCGCGGGCTGCTCCAAGGCCTGGAGAGGAGTTTAGTTTCTTGAATATGCGTCAGGATACCCGGTCGCGGTCGCGCAGGAGCGGGGCGTGAGGAGGTGGGGAGTGCAGAGCCGAGGACAGGGGTTAGAGAGAGGAAGGCGGAGAATCCTGAATGTACTTGGTGGGGGCGGTACTTAGGCAGCATCTTGGCTGTTGGGATTTTTAAGGTGCAAACGAGGACTTTTWGATATTAGCAACCAAAGGAGCCCCCGGGGAGAAGGATTTTCTATGTTTATCRTGCAAGGCATGAAAGTGACTGGGAGTAGTTGCCTTGAAAATAAGAGTATATCCTTAGCATGTCTGTAGGGTCTTGGTTTCTGAGAATGGCAGTCCAGGTCATGAATAATCATGAATGGAAGGTCCTGGTGAAATGCGCATAATTGGACCTGAACATCAAGGTGAGGCTTCTTAAGTCCTACTGTCAGGCATTCCTGGAACCTGTGGGTCCTGCCCTGCAGAGAGCTTGAGTTAGTCCTCACCTGGGCCCTCTTTCTCTTTTGCAGGTGGGGACAGAAGGGCGAGAGGCTGAGGGCTGCGGCACGGTGGGACTGCTGCTGGAGCACTCCTTTGAGACTGGTGAGTCCAAYGATGTGGTTTTCTCAACACTTATCTGGTGCCCTGTGAAGTCCAGTCTTTACAATGTGTGATCTGCCTGTTCACTAACAGTGTTGCTCTCGGGAGGGAGGAGAGAGAGATGGAACACCAGCTTCAAATACCCCTACACCTGTAGGACCAATGCCAGACTTAGTGCTGAAGTAATGGTTTCRGAGCTTTTCTGACCAGTTGCCAAGTTTGCTGCATTAGTGATTTTTTGATGCTTTTTTGTGGATATGCCTGATATCCTTGTGACAGTCTTTCCAGGTTGTGRATTTAAGCATTAGCCCCATTTTCCAGAAAAGGAAGCTGGCTTAGAGTAGACTTAACACATGGTCCCTGCATCAGTGAATGACAGAACTGGAACCAACTCACACTTAAACAGCTGTGACAGGCAAGCCAGAGCCAGCTGTCAGCACTACACAGGGCTTAGTAATGAAGTCAGAGGCTCCAGAGTGTTGGCATTTGTTACAGTGAAGCTGGGGCACCTCCCCAGACCTCCCAAGCCAGACCCTGGTCAGCCCAGAGAAAATTTAGGCTCAGAGAACTTATGTAACTGTCCCAGGATCAGTACACAATAAGGGTGTCCCAGTTTGCAGATGGGAGACTGGCAGCTTAGGATGAAGAAGCCACCTGGTCACTCTTGGGCAGAGCCAGGCCAAGATATGAATTCAGTAGGGCTGGCCTGGGGTGGTGGTCACTGAGCCCAGCTCCCCACAGATGACAGTGCCCACTTTCGGAAACGGGGCTCACTACTCTGGAATCAGCAGGATGGCACCTTGTCCTTATCACAGCGGCAGCTCAGCGAGGAGGAGCGGGGCCGACTTCGGGTGAGGTGGGGTCCCTAGGCTGGACTGGGGATGGGGGGCATCCAGTGAGCCCTTCCAGCTGCCCCCTCCCTCCAGGTGCCCCTTCTGCCCTCCTGCCCTCTGTCCCTGCAGCTGCCCAGGCTGAATGGTACCTTGGTTACCCTCTATGCCCCTTTTGGGGTGCCTGCCTCAAGGCCTTGGTCCAGGCTTCTGCCTCTTCTCCCACAGGTTACCATGATTGGCTCCTCCTGCCTTTCCAGTTATAACTGTCATTTCATGGCCTCTTGGGAGGAGGCTTGCTTGTGAGGAGAAAAGTCCTCAAGAATGGCCCTCCTTAGACAGGGTGTTCCTCCAGGGCCTCCTCATGGGCTGGGCTTCCCCCTGGCCTGGCTCTTTCCTCTTCTGCACTGTCAGTCCCACTTGTGCCTGGCAGGAGGGAGGCTGGGAGCATCAGCTTCATTCTGGCAGCCACATGCCCAGGGTGCCCTCCCTGTGAAAGAGGGCAGGGCAAGGTTGACCCAGATAGCCTGCCTGCATTGTGCCTTTGTGGTTCACTGTCCCAGCTGCCCCCAAAGAAAATTTTATTTCCGGTGGAACTGGAGAGTGAGGCATGGGACAGATGTCCTTGGTACCCACTCTGCTACTGAACTGGGGGCTCTGCTGTCCTGGGTAGCTTTTCCCCCAGAATGGGTAGCCTGGACAGACGAGGGTGGGCCAGGCCAGGAGTGCAGTGTGCTGGGTGGGGAAGCTGGGACAGGCCCAGTGGGGTCATGGCCTGGTGGACCATCRTTCTCACTAGCACCCTCTTCTGCATGACCTGCAGGATGTGGCAGCCCTCAATGGCCTGTATCGGGTGCGGGTCCCGAGGCAGCCAGGGGTCCCTGATGGGTCAGAAGCTGGTGGCTATGTCTCTTCCTTTGTCCCTGCGGTGAGTTCGTTATAAGGACTATCCCCATCCTTGTTCCCTGTGCCTACCTTGGTCCCCAGCCTGCCACAGCCTGCCTTGGTCCCCATCAAGCCCCTTGCCCAACAGAGGGCAGGTGGTTGGAGACTTGACCTTGCTCTGGAGGGATCACTCCAGGTGGTGGTGGGGTGGCATCATAGTAGGGCATGGAACATTGGCTCACAGAAGAGTGGCAAAGAGCTGAGGGAGGGTTTTGAGAGATGCTTTGGAGGTCTTGGAAGAGCAGCTCCTGCTCTTCCTGCTCCTCTAACTTGGCTCCCCCCACCCCACCCCAGTGCTCCCTGGTGGAGTCACACCTCTCAGACCAGCTGACCCTGCATGTGGATGTGGCTGGCAATGTGGTGGGCGTGTCAGTGGTGACACACCCTGGGGGGTGCCGAGGACATGAGGTGGAGGATGTGGACCTGGAGCTGTTTAATACATCTGTGCAGCTGCGGCCCCCAGGCACAGCCCCAGGGTGAGTACCTGAAAGGAGGTTGCGGAGGGAGGGTCCTGCTCCTGCCTTTGCTGGCATCCTGACTGGCTGCCTCAGGTCTCTGGGTCCCTGGATTCCTTACCCACTTTTTTCCCCTCCTCTTGCTCTCCAGTCCAGAAACAGCAGCCTTCATTGAGCGCCTAGAGATGGAGCAGGCCCAGAAGGCCAAGAACCCCCAGGAGCAGAAGTCCTTTTTTGCCAAATATGTGAGTGGGGCTCCCCTGCCCTCCCTGCCCTCTTCCCTACAGGTCCTGCCCAGCTGGCTGGGCCTCCCTTCTCCTGCCCAGATGACCTGTGCTTGTCTCTGGCACCTGGGCTGAGTCAGGGACGAGGGCTGTGGACTCCTGCTTGTGTCAGCTTGTGAAACTGTTCAGAGCTGAGTAGCCCTAGGAGCCCAGAAGGCCCCAGCGAGGGATTCGCGGGCATAGTATTCACAGGCTTATTTGGTAGAAAAATAGTGTGGGGTGGGTGGAGGGCACAGGCTGGGGCAGGCTTCTGTTAAGATGGAGAGGCAGGGATGGGCGGAGGTTTCAGAGGAGTGAGGGAGGCTTCGGGGGGCACCCAGGAAGGCAGAGAGGGGTGGATCTGGGGAGTGTTGCTCAGGGACATAAGGGTGGAGGTGGCCAGGAATGGGCCCAGGGCCCAGGAAGGAAGGACCTGCACTGCTAGAAGCAGATCTGTGGTCAGAGGCCTAGAGGCCTAGAGGCTGAGGTGGGCGGGAGGCTGGGGAGGTGCTGAAGAAGCAAGCCTTAGTAGAGAAGGTTGGTTTCATCCAACCTTCTTGTCCAATGGCACAGGCCCCCAGGCAAGGTAGGGGACAGCAAGGTCAGTGTTATTCAGGTTGGGAGGGTGCTGGTGGCCTGTGAGTGCTGAGCACCTTCCCTGAGGCCCTCAGCAGCTCCGGAGTCAGGGTAGTTCAGCTGCAGGAAACAGAGGCCCAGAGAGGTGGAAGCTGGACTGCTCTGTCTGCTGCTTGCTTGAGGGCCCACCCTTCCCTGAGGCCCCCGGAGCCCACTGACCTGCGCTCCCCTCCCTCCTCAGTGGCACCTCATCCTGGGGGGGGCCGTGTTGCTTACGGCCCTGCGTCCTGCTGCCCCGGGTCCCGCGCCACCACCGCAGGAGGCCTGAGTGAGGACCAGACCCCTTCCCGCCTCCACCCTCCTGTACCCTGCCGGCCCTGCCCCTGCCTGTAGTGCTGTAGGGGACCTGGGCCCCTCCCCTCACGCGGTCCCCCTCACACCAACCCCCTCCCTACCCTGGGCAGAGTGGCACCCACACTTACTTCCCTTTCTGTCTCTGTTTGTCCCCCTCTGCCCTGCAGTGGATGTACATCATTCCTGTTGTCCTGTTCCTCATGATGTCGGGAGCACCAGACGCCGGGGGCCAGAGTGGCGGTGGGAGTGGGGGTGGCAGCGGGGGTAGTGGCCGGTAAGCAGCACACCCTCTTTACCCAAGGACTTCCTTTACCCATTCTCCCATGTCCTTGGTCATCCCAAGAAGGACTTGCTGGCCCCCTCCTGTCTCCTCATCCCATGGAGGTAGAAAGATGCCCCCTCTTTAGGGGGCCTGTAGGCTGCCCGGGGAGCCCATATTCTCCGGGGGCCTCTCTGTTCTTTTTAGCAGAGGGGTGGCAAACTAGAGTGCATCTGCTGTGCCCCCTTTCCCATGACCCCACCTCAGCCTCATGGGCTCCCCTTAAAACACAGGCTGGAGTCCAAGCTCTGGGAATTGTGTCACTGCACCCCGTGGCCCACCCCACCCCAGCCCTGCAGTCTGGGAACATGCCACGTCCTCTCCAGCCTCTGTGCCTTTGTTCTGGGTGTTCTTGCCCTGCCTGGCCTCGACCAGGTTCCCAGGGCACCTCCTCACTTAGTGTGTGTCTCTGGCCTTCCACGGTCTCCCCTCTGAGGATGTGGTTGGGAGTGGCTGGCCGTGGGTGCCCTTGGGTTCCACTTGCAGCACCCCCCGTCACCCTGCCTGGCTGTGGGGGAAGCACTGGGCCTTCTGGACGCCAGGCCTCTACTAGCCTTCTGGGTGTGAAGAGTGGTGGTGTTTAATCAGGAAATGACAATGGAGTCAGGGCCAAGTGATACGAATAGAATCCCCTCCTCAGTCTTACCTGGGTCACCTTACCCAGGGTGCAGCACCTGGACAGGCTGCTGGGCCTCTGCTGTTTGTTGCCCCTTGTCTGTTGAAAAACGTTTGCATTATATTGAAGGTTCCAGCTTTCAACAGCCAAGTGTGGCTTGAGTCCTGCTGTTCACTTAATATATTTATTCAGAAATAAGAAAATGGCCATCGTTGTCGTTATAATGTTATAATTGCTATGAAGCATTCAGTTGTCGTATGGCAGTTGATTAAACTTCCCCAAATGTCCAACATGTAGCTCCCTTTCTGCTTTAGTGGTCATTAATGGCCCTGCAGGGGGCCTGCAGTTGTGACTTGCCTAACACATGGGAGACGCTGTTTGATTCTCAGCAACACATAAGAACAAATAAAAATAAAGGTGTCGTGTCCAACTACAACTAAAAAAACATTAAAAAAAAAAACAAAAAAACCCATAACCCTGCAGGGAGTGTTATCCAGTCCCTCTGGTGTGCATTTGGGTGGTTTCCTTGGGTCATGAGGCAGAGTGGAATTGCTGTGGCAGATGAAAAGCACCTTCGTGAGGCTTGTCACTGCGGCATGAGGGCCGCACAGTTCAGTCTCTTTCCCTCCCAGCAGATGTGAAGGCCTAGCATCTTCCTTTAACAAAAGAATTAAGGATGTTGTCCTGCACGTCCTGCTTTGTCCCAAGGTGTTTCCTTGCCCTGCCAGAAGGATGTACTGGGACCATTCAACCCCTCCTGTCCCAGCTCCACACACGTAGGCCTAACTCGGGTGAGGTCCCAGGCTGGCCCACAGGCCGCCAGCCTTGTCCCCACATCCTTGCCAGCAGACTTCTCAAACCTGGGCCATTCTGATAGGTTAGAAAATGGTATCACACAGCCTGTCATGGTGGTGCATGCCTATAATCCTGGCTGCTTGGGAGGCTGAGGTGGGAGGATCACAAGTTCCAGGCCAGCCTCAGCAACTTAGCCAGGCCCTACGTCAAAAACCAAATGGCATGTGTTGCTCCAACCCTGTGCTTCTAAAAACACAACAGAGTGTGCGCGAGCCCAGCGAAGGGCTCTGGAGAACTCCAGCCAGCTCATGGGTGGCATGCACTTGCGGTTTGAGTTGCTCTTAGAGCTCATCTGGTACTTCAGCCCAGCTGAGAGGCGGCTTAGGTGTGCATGTTCTCACTGGGGCCTGCCCTTCACCTTCTCACTCCTTTCCAGCACTCCAGTGGCTCACACCCCTCCCCTGTGCACTTTGGCATAAGGCCTGAGAGTTCCCAGGCATTGGCCAGTTTACATACTCTGTATTTACAAAGGGTCTGCTGTGTCACATGCCTGTCAGCTATGGGGTTACCTTTTTAAAATGTTTTTGTAGCTGTACTTCAAAAAGTGTCCCAGGGTTCCTCTGACTTTCACATCTTTCCCTGATGGTGAGAGATTGTGATGCCACCACGCTCTGTTAGGTCTGTTCYATGTGGATTTCTGTCTCTCAGATTACCCCAGCAGTATTTACTGATGCTTTTTGGGAATCTGTTCACTACTCAGTTCTTAACCTTGATCAAATTTGCACATCCCTCTTCCCACAGCAGTTTGCATGGCCATCTGGTTTTTAATGGATTAGGCTTTGGGATCTTTATATATCTGATCACATTCTTTTCCTCCAATACTTTTGCTTGCTCTCAGCTGGCACTTACTCTGGTATTCTAGAAGATGTCTGAGTTTCTTCAAGGTCCCCAGGACTCTGTCCTTATTAAATTTCTCTTACCATTCCTGCTTGTCCCTGTAGAACTCATTCACTGTTTTATTTTACTGACCAGGGTTTCCAGGGTCTTCAATACATTAGGATCCATGGCAAGGAGCCTTCTGCCCACCCCAGGCGCTTGCCCCCAATTCCCCTGGCAGGGGGCAGCCTGGGGTTTCTGTGACCTGACCACTGATTTGGAGACAGTCTGTACATCAACAAGCAGATACTCTTGTTTTGCACAAGTGTGTTGCTCTTGACCCACCCCTTCCTCCAACATAAATTGGAAAGATTTTCACTGGTGGGTGGGTTCTGCACAAGCTGCAGCCTCTGAAGCTAGCAAGTGTTGCAGCTCTTAATGGCCAGCCACACCCTCTAGTATTGCAGCAGACCCAGCAGCTCACCTGGTCCCTGCTGAGAAGTGGCAGGGAAATGGTGAATCAGCAGAGTGGCAGCTGGGTACACAAAGCACAGTCTGAACACAAGGTGCCTAGGGGAGCCTGCGATGCCAACGGGCTCTTCTTTCGATTTCATTTGAAGAGTGAAATCCAGAGACCAGGATGAGTGAGTATAAGAGCAGGATTTATTTAAGGGTGCATAGAAACAACCCTCACAGTATTAGAGGGGACCTGACAGGTTGCTGTCTGAGTGTGATAGGGGTTTATATAGCACTTGGGCCAATGCTCTTGGCCCAAACTTAACCTAAGTAGGGTTGGAAAATTAATACCACTATTGGTTAGCCCTGAATTCCACTCAGGTTTACTTTACTTCCATTTTCTCCTAACTTTGGGAAGTGGGAGGTTGAAGTCATTGAATTGTACATGCTCAGTAACTGTATCGGGTGTCTGGAGATGCAGCACTGGAGTGTGCTTCCACGCCCGTGTGCAGGCTGGGCTGCTGTGGGGTAACAGGTTGGTTTCTCCCGGCTCACTTAGGTGCTGGTCCACCGCACCTCAGATCCACGCTGGCATGGCGGGCTCCCCAAGGCACCCTGCGTTCAGCCTGTGCTTTGTGTGTCCAGTTGCCACTCTGCTGATTCACTGTTTCCCTGCCACTTCTCAGCAGGGACCAGTGGGTTGGCTGCATGGCTTGGTGACCAGGGAGCCACATCACCTGGGCCATACCTGCCTCCTGGCTCCTGCCTTAGGGAGCACTGAAGAAGTCAGCACTTCCCACCCTTAGTTGCTCTGGGATCCTGCCCAGGACCCTGTTCCACTCTTCCTACCCCTCCAGGTCCCTTCTCTCTTTTCACTGTTCCTATGTGCCCACAGCCTCAGCTCAAGCCTAATCATCTTGGTCCATCAGCCCAGCATCCTCTTCGGCCTCCCAGCCTCTAGCTTCCCCCATTCACCGTCCATCCTCCTCATGAGGAGCTTGATACCACAGTTTGCCTCTACTGAAGCCCTCCTGTGGCTCCCCAGCATCCACTGGACAAAATGCCATCTCCTCCTGGCATTGAGGGATACCATGTCCCTTATTGAGGGATCAGTTAGATAATCACCAGGCCAAACCTCTGGCACTGTTCTCACCTGCCCACCCCCAGCCTTATCCCTCCTGCCTCTTTCTGCCATGTTCCTGGCCCCAGCTCAGTCCTCAWGCACTTCTGGACTCTGTCCCCAGCATGGCTTCAGGTCTAAGACATGAGGCCTCAGTGAGGGGACTGCCTCACCCCTCCAATACCCTTTTCTGGTCCCTGGCATGTGGATACTCCCCCTTTCCAATCTAGAGTTTCATACCGGCATTTGGCTGTTTTTAGCACTAATTGTGTGGCACGTGGCCTTAGGATGTGGAAGGCTAAATTTTGGATGTTGTAAGACTACTGGTCCCCACTGTGGCTTCTGGAAATAAGTCTGTGGGCTTTTTACCCTTGGAAGACTCCAAGGCAAGGAGCAGGGACTTGTTCTTGGGCCTCCAGCTGTTGGTCCCCCACCTTGGCTCACATCTACCTTCCTTTTACAGAGGGGACATACTCGATTAGGCCCAGTCCCTGGAATAGTTTTCCAAGCAAGCCGGTGTAAGCCAGATCCCAGGCCCTTTTCTCCCATAATGCAGTCCCCACTGCATCACTGCATCGTCACAGGGTGAAGGAGAGACTCCTTGAATGGATGCCCTGACAGCACGGGAGGATCTGGGTGTAAGCTGGCATACCAGGAAGCTTGTGGGGCAGGATCTTTATATGTTGGAAGTAAAAGTGGTCATTTCTGCAGCATTTTGCAAATCTGTCCTCCCCCACCCAGTCTCCCCACCTCCCCCAGGCATTCTTGGCATTGTCCTTATCCCTGAGGCGGACTCAGTTCTAATAGAGCCCGGGTGCTGTTCCATCTGCTGCCAGGAGGTGGTAACTGAGGGCCCTGCATGGATGAAGTGCCCTGCAGGTGGCGCTGTTGGTCCTTCAGGCCAGGTCTTCCCTGTAATCTCCGTCCTCACTGCTGCTGGTCATTTGAAGCCCTGGGCACCTGTTTCTCATGGGTGAAAAGGAGATCTCCACATGGACGTGCTCTCTGCTGTCTGAGAAGAGGGTGGAGTGCTGGGAAGGAGAAGAAAGCAGAAGGTCTCATCCCTTTCCCACCAAGTTCAAACTCCAGTCCAGGAGCTGATCCCYAGCCGGCCCCAGGGGCCCACCCAGACCTGGCCCCTGGCCCTGCCACTTACTTCTTTCTCTGGTCCCATTCCTCATTTCCTCCTTCCCAGGCTTTGGGTGGGCTTGATTTCTCCAGGGTGTATCCAGCGTCCAGGACAGACAGAAAAGAGAGAGAACAAACGTCACAAAGTTCTTTCAGCTCCTGGGCTCTGGCTTGGCAGCTCTGCCTCAGGTGGCCCACCCCCTGCACTGGGTGGAAGCCACCTCCTTCTCAGCCTGGGAACCTTGAGTGCTGGCTGGGGCAGGGGAGGGAGGGAGAGGGCACGGGCACGAGCAGAAGAGGAGTAGGGAGAGTGCAGGCGCCTCCCTGAGACTGGAGGAGGCCGCACCCCAGAGGATTGAGAGGGTGGGGAGATTCAGAGAGGAAAGGAGGGAGAGGGCGTGGGAAGATTTACGGATCTCCCAAAGGAGAGAGTGGGGAGCAAGAGGGAGAGGAAGGGGAGGCAGATTCAGAGAGAGAAAGCTCGAAGGACAAGGGGAGGAGAGAAAAAGAGATAAAAGAGAGGGGAAGAGGAAAGAGGACAAGATGGAAGAGAAGGGGAGCACAGCGAGAGGGGTGCGCCGAGCGGGAGGGCTGGCGAGAGGGGGCGAGAGAGAAGAGGAAACGTCAGGGAGGAGTGGGGCGGAAAGACGGGTGGGGAAGAAGGGAGCGAGAAACAGAAAAGGAGAGGGCAGCTGCAGCGACGAACTGTAGGGACCGCGCGCACCTGAAGTCGAAGCTGCGCCAGGAAGAGGCGCCAGGCCCCCAGGGCCTGCTGGGGGGAGAAGGGGGGAAAGAGCCCGAGAGCGAGCCGGGGAGGCGGGGAGACCAGTGGGAGGGAAGGGATGGGGGAGAGGCCCGGAGCGAGAAGGGCAGGCAGGGCGCACCCCGGGAGAGAAAGGGCTCCGAGGAGAGGAGAGGAAAGGAGCGGGACACTGCAGGGACGCGCGGAGGGAGGGAGGGAGGCGGCGCGGCGGCTGGGCGGCAGGTCCCTGGAGCCCGCGCTGCGCCAGCGCCGTCCGGGACCCCTACCTCTCGCTCAGCCCAGCCACGGCCAC